AAAAAAGAGTCTTATCTAAAATGCTCTTATTGGAGTCACAGAGTTTGTAGGTGCTTGGTCCAGAACAAATGTCCTTGCTGTTCTCCTCCGTATAGGTCCACTCATATGTAAGAGATAAAATAGATAGAGAGCCAAATAGTGCAATAGATCTAATAATAAAAGGAATAAAATATAGAAGGCTGGTATAAAACTCACATTTGCAAGAGCTATAACTCGCTCTAGTATGAAAAGCGCACAGCGGTACAATCCCCGCTTATGGGATATAGGGTAGGCTTCCTCCGTCAGTGTTATGTTCAACACTCGGATAAAAAAGAGACAACCAATTGTGCTCACTGGGTAAAATACTGGAAATAAAATATATAAAATGGTACTCACAAGAAAGGAGCAGGCCGACTGCTCCTTGAAGATAGCGCTGGTGGTATGATCCCCACCTACGATTACCTGGAGTCCAGGGTGATAAAAAATGCCAGGTTATTTTTCTCTAATCCAGTAAGTCATAGTTATTACTCCTCCAAATCACCCAATTCCAGTGGTTTTTATTCGGTTACATTTATATGACTGTGTTCGATACTCCCATTGGTGTACAGCTGTTCATTTGTGACAATAGTATCAAAACTATGATTAAACGAAGGAAGGCTGTGCAAGTCACATGCCGGGAGGTGTGATTAGGGTGCATAAACAAAGTGATTTAACTCCTAAATAGTAGTGAATTGAGCAGTGAAACTTCAGTTTCATGATATATACACTACAAGTGCTTCATTAAGCTAAAGGTGTTTTGGTGACTATAGTGTCAATTTAAATTCTCACTTATACTATATAATCACTGAATTCTGAATTGTAATAAAGTAGTGACCTTTAAGCAAGAAAAAAACTGTGACAATAGCGCATTATATATATACATATATATATATATATATATTGTAAATTTATCTAACACGCTATTTGGACAAATTATTGGGACACACCTCTTAATTATTGTATTCAGGTGTTTGTCAGACCCATCACCACAGGTGTGTAAAATCAAGTACCTAGCCAAGCAGTCTGCATTGGCATTAGTGGGGGGGGGGAGGTCATTAGACATGTGCAATTCGTTTTTGGGCCGAATATGAATTCGGACGAATTTCGGGAAATTCGGACATTCGGGTACTTCCAAATGTCTGAATAGCTGAAGTGCCGAATTACTGACGTCCCGAAGTTCGGAAAATACCGAAGTTCCGAAGTACAGTATTGCCTAAATACTAATATACTTACCCAGTGGAAGAAGAAGAATGTTACACTGTATACAATTTTAAATAAAAAGTATACAAACAGAGCCAGGATTGAGCTGTAAGCGTTTGCAACACTTACAACAATCAAGTAACATACATTCATATAACATGTAAGTTACTTAGCCAGTCAATGTAATGACAGGAATGAATAAGTAGATAACTCCTTAATTCCCACAATATTAGGGAGCTATCTACTAAAAGGCTGAAAGACCTAAATTGGTCTTTCAGACAAATTTACTAAGGAGGGATGGGGGCCCTAAATAAAAAAAATAACCCACCCTCCCGAGGGTGACTAAGGGTCCCCAAAATTAAAAAATAATGAGGGGGGACCATTTAACTAAGTACCTGAAAAAAAATAAAATAAACTTACCATTTGATGTTTTCTTTCTTCTAAAATCTTATTTTTTCCGCCCCAAAAAAGGCCAAATAAAAAGCTATAATAACCGACGCAATTAAAAATAAAAAAAAATAAAAAGCTAGCACAAAAAAAAAAAATCCATCTTCACCCGGCGAGGGCTCCGCGCAGACTGAGCTCTGCAGGGCGGGGGAAGGCTTATGAAGCCTTGCCCTGCAATTAGGCTCAGAGCACTCTAATTGGTGGGTTTAAGCCATCCAATGAGAGTGCTCTCACAGGTAAATGAAGAGACTGACAGGTAAGTCTCTACATTTACCTGTCACAGCACTCTGATTGGTTGGCTTGAAATCCACCAATCAGAGTGCTCTGTGTCATTTTACACAGTGTGTGTCATGGAGTAACACTTCTGGGTTCGGCACTCCGCTGTGCGTAGCCGGACCCCGCCCCCCTCTGACGCAGCTCTGACGTTATTTAGGGAGACCGCGCTAGAGAGAGGGGGCTTGGTGATACTGGGAGCTACTTCCGCCAGACTTACCTCTCTGCAGGCTCTGGCAATGTGGGTCCTACTTCCGAGTATGCACGCCGGCTCCTGGGACACGCCGGCTCTACAAGCTCTGAAGTTGTCCTAGCCTTCTGGGCTAAGACAAGTCTGTTTCATGCCATAGAGGATTACTGGAGAATAGAAACTCACTTACTTTACAAGTGGACAATATCTCTGAACTATTGGAGGACTACTCACATTAACCTTAAGTACATCTTTCAGCTATTTGTCTACAATATCATTTAATAATGAACTAATGCTTGCTTACTCAAATCTTCACTGCTTCAAGCTACTAATTATATGGAGGACAACTCCCATCATGCTTATTCACTATGAACTGTTCTTGCTCTGCAAATATTCTTAGCTACTTGCTTATTGTTTCTATTGAAGATTATTCTCCTTAACCTAAAGAATGTTACTTAATGCATCTCTTAGGAAATACTTAATAATGAACTTTGTGTTGTTGATTACTTGCACTTCTTCTTATTGGATTATTTCCTAAATGCAATTCATTTAAGTTTAACACTTATTAAAACTTAATTTGAATCAAGTTACCAGCAATTCTCTCTTTTCTTAAAGCTACAGTATTGATACTTTAAAGATTCTCAGTTTCTTCACTATTGTAATTAGGGAGTTTTACAAGTTGCAGTGGAGTTCCAATCCAAATCACCCAAGTAGCGTAACAGCGTGGGAAAGTTCTTTGGAATTTTCCCACGCTGTGTAATTTGACCCATAACAGTCTGATTGGTTACTTAATAACTTAATAACTTAATAACTTTCCCAACCAATCAGAGTGCTGTGACAGGTAAATGTAGAGACTTACCTGTCTGTCTCTTCATTTACCTGTCAGAGCACTCTGATTGGATGGCTTAAACCCACCAATCAGAGTGCTCTGACTCTAATTGCAGGGCGCTCAGTCTGCGCAGGGTGAAGATCGATTTTAAAAAATTTTTGCGCTCGTTTTTTTTTTTTTTTTTTTTTTTTTAAGTGCGTCAGTTATTTTGGCTTTTTATTTGGCCATTTTTGGGGCTGAAAAAAGAAGATTTTAGAAGAAAGAAAACATCAAATGGTAAATTTTATTTAATTTTTTTCAAGTACTTAGTTAAATGGTCCCCCCTCATTATTTTTAGGGTGAGGGGGGTAGGTAGGAGTTAATTTTTTGGGGGAGGGGTGTGACTAGGGGTTTGGGGACCCCTAGTCACCCGGGGAGTGGGGGTATTTTTTGTATTTAGGGCCCCCACCCACCACTCAGGGGTGAGGGCCAGGGGGGAGGACATTAGGTCCCCCCCTAATTAGTATTTAGGGCCCCCACCCACCACTCAGGGGTGAGGGCCAGGGGGGACCCCACCACCGCTCAGGGGTGGGGGCAGGGGGGAGGACATTAGGTCCTCCCCCCTCATTCTAATTTAGGGCCCCCACCCACCGCTCAGGGGTGGGGGCCAAAGAGGAGGACATTAGGTCCCCCCAATTAGTTTTTAGGGCCCCCACCCACCGCTCAGGGGTGGGGGCCAGGGGGGAGGATATTAGGTCCCCCCCCAATTAGTTTTTAGGGCCCCCACCCACCGCTCAAGGCCCCCCCTCATTCTAATTTAGGGCCCCCACCCACCACTCAGGGGTGGGGGTCAGGGGGAGGACAATAGGTCCCCCCCATTATTTTTACTTAAGGGCTCCCACCTGCCGCTCAAGGGTGGGGGCTGGGGGAGGACAATAATTCGCCCCCCATTATTTTACTTTAGGGCCCCCACCCGCCGCTTGGGGGGGCAATAGGTCCCCCCCATTATTTTACTTTAGGGCCCCCACCCGCCGCTCAGGGGTGGGGCGGGGGGGCAATAGGCACCCCATTTAGTTTAAAAGCATGTCACGGGTGGGGGCTTGGGAGGGGCTGGTCACTGTTTAAAAAACATGCCCCTACTCGCGGTATAGCAAGTAGGGGCACAATTTACTAATACTTTGGCTGAAAGACCAATTTAGGTCTTTCAGCCTTTTGGTAGATAACTCCCTAATACCGTGGGAATTAGGGAGTTATCTACCAAGCGGCTGCAAGATAAGTTGCCGAAGTTCCGAAGGTCGAAGTGCCAAATTGCCGAGGTCCCGAAGTTCCGAAATTACCGAATTTCCGAAGTGTCGAATTACCGAAGTCCGGAATTTTGGAATGCCGAACTGAAAATTTTTCCCATGCACATGCCTAGAGCTCATTCAGAAAAGCTCAGTGAATTCAAGCGTGGTACTGTGATAGGATGCCACCATTGCAATAAGTTAGTTCGCAAAAAGTTATCCTTGCTAGATATTCCGCGGCCAACTGTAAGTGGTGTTATAGGAAAGTGGGAGCGTTTAGGAACATCAGCAAACCGACCACGAAGCAGAAGACCACGTAAAGTCATAGTGGTGCGCACATCTTGCTAACGCTCTGCTGATTCCATAGCTGAAGTTTCACATTTTCACTGACATTAATATTCGCACAAAAACTGTGCGGCATTTCCATGGCCGAGGGGCTTCGTGCAAGTCTCACATCACCAAGTACAATACCAAGCCTCAGACCAAGTGGTGTAAAGCAGGCCGCCGCTGGACTCTGGAGCAGTGGAAATGTGTTCTGTGGAGTGATGAATCGCCCTTCTCTGTTAGGCAGTCTGACGGCGAGCCTAGGTTTGGAGGATGCCACGAGAACCTTACCTGCCTACCTTCTTGTGAAAGGCATTTCCAGAAAAGCGGATGCTTTTGTAGCAGAAAATGGGGAGCAAACTCCATATTAATTTCTTATTTATTTAGAATGTGATGACATAAAAGTTCCTGTTGGTGCAATGGTCAGTTGTCACAATATGTCTGTCCATATAGTGTGTATATATATATATATATGGGTTTGTATGTAATTTTTTATTGGAAAAAAAAGAGTGCCTGAATTCCCAGAAGCAGAGCAATCTGTAGAATGTGGTGGTTTTAGTGGAAGCAGTTTCATGATCCTCTTGTAGCAGCAAATCATAGGGATTCAGGTTTCTGACTTCCAACAGACTCTGCCATCTTTGTCTAAGCTGACTGTACCACTTGCAACAAGAAGAACTGCCTTGGTGATTACCCTCTGGTGTGCTTCTTGCATTCTCTCAGTCAGAGTGATCTCTGTATCGTCCGTTTGGACAGTTATTGTCTCTTGCAGGACCATAGGACCCGGAGCTGAGCTTTCCTACACAAACCAGAAAATGGCTGATTAACAATTTGCAAACAAATTTATAAAGTACTGAGTAATGTGTCTTATTAATATGTAAAGTTGTACTCACAACTGTGAAACAAACCGTGCATCCACACACTTTGGCTCCAGCCTGGACAACACCTTCCACTTTATACGAGGGTGAAAGTGTTCGGTATGTGTTCAATAGTTTTCCTAAACATGTAAAGAAGATTAGATAGTGCTCTTATCCCAACAGAAGACCTTTAGATTAATTATAAATGGACAGACTGGTCCTGTTTCTCAGGTGACCTTATTAGTCCATTTGGATTCAGAACCATCTATACTCCTGATTACAATCAGAGTTATCTCTCCTGCTCTCTTGGATACTACATTTTATATCTATGCTCTCCTATATCTATATTAGTTTATCTTTCATTTTCTAAAACGTAATCATTCTAAAGCAGAACTTCTTATATATATATCCTACTCCACCATTGATTGGCCCTCTCCGGCGAGATAAATGGAACACTTATTACACTAATCCGCCAAGCTCACTACCTTGGTGGTGTTTTTTGTAATTAAAATGTTTTTTTTGTTTTTTTTTAATATTGCAATACAAGGTAAAAGCAAAAGACAAGAGGATGATAGCTTGAAGCTTCATTATGTTTGTAGCACGTTAGGAAACAAAATGTTTGGAAAAGGAAAGAAAAAAAACAAGAAAGGGGGAAAGAGAGGCGGAAAGGCTGTAGATATTTTTTTTGCACTCCACTTTACTAGCTTAACTAGAACATTTCAGAACTTGACTTATTTTTTATTTTTTATATACATAAGTCCTGTTGTTCTTCCTCCTTGTATTCCTTTACTTTTTTCTAGAATATAGCCTTATTTCAGTAATTGTGAAGTACTACACAATGCATTAGTTGGTGCTATATAATTTAATATATATAATATAATATAATATAATATATATAATTTAAGATAATAATACCTTTCCATTTGTCCAGAAATGGACCTGACATAGTCCTCTTGAAATCTACAAGGCAGATAAGATCAATGGAGAACGCTTCCAATACTTTGCTCACCGCGAGTTCAAAATCAGCGTGACAGCTGAAAAACGTCTGGTCGATTACCTATAGGAAGTATAAAATGTCCCATGATTACAGTGCGAATGTACTATAAGAGCAGGAAGGTCCGAGCATGTGCCCCCAAATTAACATTTTGACACCAGTTAGTGACCGTCCCTGATTTAAGTGAAACTGGAGAGATAAACGATCATCGCTGTGACATAAGGCTTAAACATGCACATTAGTTAAGGCTTCAGAAATGGAAGACAAAATATGTATACTGATAATAAGAATCATCTTCACTAAAGAAATAAACACTGTAAATGTGATTTAAAGGCTTTGAGAAAGAGTCTATTTCAAAATGCTGTTAAATGTGTTTGATAGACTGTGTTGCTAGTATATAAAATATTAGGTACACCAAACAGCACTATCTGTATAAAAGTTCTCCCCTTATATTTCCTAGAGGTTTACTGCAGTGTGTGCGTTTTCGGCATTTATCAGGATTATGTCAAATTGATAATGATGGAATTTGGATTGCATCAGGAGCCTCAATGTATTGTAGGCAAGACTGCATGTCATGTGACATATAAATGTGAAAGTTCAGCATTCCATGTGATCTAGATCGAGTGATGTGTAGCTCTCTGCACTTATCACAGTCGTCATCTTACATTCTGTTCCTTATTCACTAAAGACAGAATGCCCCTGGTGTAAATTATGAAAATTAAACCAAAATCATCTGCGGGCATTTGATTAACAAAATCTGGACCCAAATGATGGAAATATGCAACTGAGCACTCAACGTGTACATAACTGGCCACTTTCTGTCTTGCAAATTTGTATCAACTAAATTTATGCAATATAGTTGGATCGAATTTGCAGGCAGATAGTGGGCAATTCTAACAAAGGATATCAATGCAAAAATATGCAATTATTTATAAAACTCATATTTTATTATTTCTGTTTTATTTTAACCCTTTGTCAATTACTTTGTATGCTACAAGTGGGCAAACATAACGGATTCCTGTAGGTTTGTCGATAATCCAATGGCATGCAAGCTACCAGATGGTTCTGAATAAGATGTGCTAAATTGGTAGCAATAACCATACGTTAACCAGATTTTCCTTCAGTAAATATGAGAATTGCAAATTCTGTTTCAAATTGGTTATCTTGCTGATCTAAGACAAATTTGGCCTTTTGTGAATAATTCCTGGTCTGGCTTTGGGTAAAAAGCTTTCTGCTGGAGTCCATGCATTGGTAGTATTTGAATGTATACCCGTGTAGGAATTCCAATCCCGGCAGCTTTTTTCAATTCTTCCACCCCAGTCTGGTTAGAGATGACCAGGGTCACACGTGCCAAGCTCCCAAGCATCCTGGTGCTGTCTATAAGATGCTGTAGCTTAGTACCTAATGAAGAAAGCATATATAAAAGTACAAAAAAAAGACAATGAAGATGATATAGTGTATAGAACATTCTGATTTAATAATGATAAAAATAGTGCTTTTCTTATAACTTAAAGGAGCTCTATAGTCAACACATAAAAGCAAGAAAGACAGGTCTCTATCCTTCTTCCTTGCGTTTATATTAGTTTCCCCTTAATAAAAAAATCAATTTAAGTGCTTTTTATCATTTAAACTTACCTCCGTTCCAGCACCGAGATCCTCGAAGTCCACACCCCCTTTTTCGTCAAAATGATGAAGAAGCAGGGCTCAATCAGACGCTTCTCTTAGAGAAGTGTCATTATTATTATTATTATTATTATTTTATTATTTATATAGCGCCAAAAAATTCCGTAGCGTTGTACAATGGGTGGACTAACAGACACATAATTGAGATCAGACCACTGACGTACAGGAACAGAGGGGGTTGAGGGCCCTGCTTGATGAGCTTACATGCTAGAGGGAGTGGGGTATAGTGACACAAAGGGTTAAAGTAGGGGAATTAAATAGTTTGTTACAGAAGGGTTTATTGAGTGCTTGGTAGGTCATTTTTCACAGGTGAAGGAACGGAGTCATGGGGTGGGGGATGAGAAACCTGCTGACAGTTTAATTGATACGCTTTAATGAAGAAGTGAGTTTTCAAAGATTTTTTGAAGGAATGGATGCTGGGTGAAAGTCTTATTGAGGAAGGAAGGGAGTTCCACAGAATAGGTGCAGCCCTGGAGAAGTCTTGAAGGCGGGCATCAGAGGTGGGGATCCGGGCAGAGGATAGGAGTAGGTCTTGGGCTGAGCGCAGGGGTCTCGACGGGACATACTTGTGTATGAGGGAGGATAGGTATGTTGGAGCAGCATTATGTAGGGATTTGTAAGCAAGCGCCAGAATTTTGAATTGGGCCCTATATCTAACTGGAAGCCAATGCAGGGACTGACAGAGCGTGGAGGCGTGGGAGGTGCGACCGGACAGGAAAATAAGCCTCGCAGCCGTATTCATTATAGATTGCAGCGGTGCAAGCTGGGAACATGTAAGACCGGTGAGAAGGGGATTGCAATAGTCAAGGCGAGAGAGAACAACAGCATGAACCAGTACCTTAGCCGCGTCCGGCGTTAGATATGGGCGGATGCGCGCTATGTTCTTGAGTTGGAAGCGACAGGATTTGGCTATCGATTGAACATGGGGAGTAAAAGAGAGATCAGAATCAAAAAGAACTCCTAGGCAGCGAGCCTGGGAGGTAGAGGTGATAGTAGCGCCGTTGACTTGGATGGCGACAGACACAGGAGTAGCAGCACTTGAGGGAGGAAAAACTAGAAGTTCTGTTTTGGACAGGTTGAGTTTAAGGAAGTGAGCAGCCATCCAGTTGGAAATAGCAGAGAGGCAGTCAGAAACACGAGTCAAGGTGGGCGGAGAGAGATCGGGGGAGGACAGGTAGATTTGCGTGTCATCTGCATATAAATGGTATTGGACGCCAAAAGAGCTGATGAGTTTACCAAGGGAGGCAGTATAGATAGAGAACAGTAGGGGGCCGAGGACAGAACCTTGGGGGACGCCGACAGGGAGGGGTTGGGGAGAAGAGGCAGAGCCAGAGAAAGAAACACTGAAGGAGCGCTGGGAGAGGTAGGAGGAGCACCAGGAGAGAGCAGAATCCCGTAGACCAAAGTTACAGAGAATGTGAAGAAGCTGTTGATGATCAACAGTGTCAAAGGCGGCAGAAAGATCAAGGAGGATTAGGATAGAGTATTGGCCGCGAGATTTAGCAGCAATTAAATCGTTGGATACTTTGGTCACAGCAGTTTCGACAGAGTGACCAGCACGGAATCCAGACTGAAGGGGGTCAAGCAGAGAGTTGGATTCAAGAAAGTCTGTCAATCTGGCGTAGACAACTCTCTCGAGGATCTTGGAGGCAAATGGCAGTAGCGAGATAGGGCGGTAGTTGGATGGGGAGTTGGGATCAAGGCTGGGCTTTTTCAGAATTGGGGTTACGGTTGCATGTTTGAAGGCAGAGGGAAATGTGCCAGAGGAAAGGGAGAGATTGAAAATGTTAGCGAGAGGAAGAGCAAGAGAGGGAGGCAAAGTGCGGATGAGATGCGAGGGAATAGGATCAAGGGAGCAGGTGGTGGGTGGGAGGACAGGAGCAGAGCAGAAACCTCTTGTGCTGTAGCAGGTGCAAATGAGCTTAGGATGGCAGGGGGAGTGGGGTTGGGTGATGTATTGATACTGGTTGGAGAAAGATTAGAGATCTCTTTCCTGATTGTAGAGATCTTCTCAGTGAAATGAGATGCAAAGTTTGTGGCGGTCAAGGTGGTGGAAGGAGGGGGAGTCACAGGGCGAAGAAGTGCATCAAAAGTGTGAAACAGGTGTTTGGGTTGGTGGGACAGTGTGCTTATGAGGGTGTTGAAGTAGCTTACTTTTGCAGAGGAAAGAGCCATGCTGTAGGAGCGCAGCATAAATTTATAGTGGACAAAGTCAGATGCAAAGTGAGACTTTCTCCAGCAGCGTTCAGCAGTTCTGGAACATTTTTGGAGGTAACGGGTCAGCTTGGTGTGCCAGGGTTGTAGTTGGGGGCGCTTGCTGCGTTTAACTGTAGGAGGTGCCATGATGTCAAGTTGAGAGGAGAGAGTGGAGTTGTAGAGTGAGGTTGCAGAGTTAGGGCAGTTGTGATTTGAGATGGGTAAAAGGAGTGTTTGGAGTTTAGTGGAGAAGTGCTGGAGATCGAGAGAGTTGAGGTTTCTGCGAGGTTGGAGAGTGGACGGTGGTGAGATTTTGATATGGGGTATGCAGATGTTAAATGTTAGCAGATGGTGGTCAGACAAAGGAAATGGAGCAGTGGCGAGATCAGAGGTGGTACAGAGATTGGTGAAGATGAGGTCAAGAGTGTTTCCTGCAGTATGAGTTGCTGAGGAAGAAATCTGTGTGAGTCCAAAGGAGGAGGTTACAGAGAGCAGACGAGAGGCATCAGGGCAATTGAGCTTGTTGATAGGGATATTGAAGTCCCCAAGTATGAGAGAGGGAGTGCTAGAGGAAAGAAAGTGGGGTAACCAGGAGGAAAAGTGTTTAATGAATAGTTTAGGGTGACCGGGGGGGGCGATAGATGATGGCAATTCTTAAAGGAGTGGGCTTAAAAAGGCGTACAGTGTGAACTTCAAAGGAAGTAAAGGATAGGGCAGGGGCAGGGAGGATAGGTTGAAAGGTACATTGAGGGGAGAGAAGGATGCCTACACCACCTCCTTTACAGTCAAGTCTAGGAGTATGGGAGAACTGTAGACCACCGAAACATAAAGAAGCAGGAGTAGCGGTATCGGATGGAGATAGCCAGGTCTCAGTGAGTGCCAGTATTGTGAGAGAGTTAGAGATGAGGAGGTCATGTATAGCTGTAGATTTGATATTACTACAAATAGAGCGAGCATTCCAGAGTGCACACTGAATTTTGGTAGAGGAGGATAGACTGCAGGGTATTTGGAGGAGGTTTGCATGGTTTCTGGTTATTTTAGTGTGAGCAGATGAGGTGAGGGGCCCTGGGTTGGGAGAGACGTCACCAGCTGCCAGAAGTAGGAGGAGAGATAGAGTCAGGAGGTGTGAGTGGGTTTTATATGGGCGGCGACTAGGGTGAGATTGGGTTAGAGCAGGAGAGAGAGAATAGAGAAATTAGTGCGGGGCTTGAGATGAGAGAAGGGGGGAGTGTAGCAGAGAGAGATTAATGTAAATGTTAGTGTTTTGTTGAGGGAAGTGGGTGGAATGGGATATTTTGATCCTTAGGGAGATGAGCAAGAAGGAGAGGAGGAGAATATAGAGCATTGCTCTGATGGGTAGGTAATTAGAGGAAAGGAGAATGAGCATAAGGGAGGAGAAGGAGTGAGTGTTAGGGGTTAAGAAGGTGGATTGTGCTCATTACGGGTAGTGTTTGCAGCTGCTATTTGGAATTATCTAAAATTGTGTGTGGGATTCTATCTATAAATGTAGTAAGGAATTTGGGATGGGGTGGTGAGGGGAGGGGTGGGTGGGTGGGTGGGAATCTGAGCACTGTTCAAGTTTGCTAGAAGTGGTCTTTTAAAACTCAGACTGTGGAAGACAGAGATGATAGGGTCAAAACAGGACTGCAATAAAAGCTATGGAATGGAGATGCACAGAGGAGGTGAGGATTGGTCAAGCAAGACATTCGGGTGGGTATCAATAAAATAAGGGGGGGGGAGAAGAAATACAGAGAAACAGAGAAAATATTTAGAGATAAGCAGGATGTTGAATAACATTTAAGTTAACAAAACCAATGTTGAGCAGGGCAGGGAGCAACTAGCTTTAGCATGCAGGACAAGACAAACTGCAGAATATATGTGTGTATGAGCAAACACACACATACACACACATATATATATATACACACACACACACACATATTATCATCAGTCTGTGGTGACCATGTACGGCTTCGCGTTGCACCAATCACGTTGTTCTTCATAGATTCAGCATTGAAATTAATGCCGCTCTATGAATAAACTCTGAGTGGTCTACCGCGCATGTGAGCGGTGTGCGCGTTTGCGAGCTGAGCTGACGGACAACTCTGCTCGCTGTCTATGCTCGTCCCCTCCTACTGCAACCATCCTAAGCCCAAAGTTTGTGTGTTTGAATAGAAACACTATATATAGAGATGTCTCTATATATAGTGTTTGCACACAAACACAAATTGTAAACATACACACACTCTTTCTATGTAATATCTATACATCTATATCTATCCCTCTCTATCCATCCATCCCTCTATCCATCCATCCATCTCTATCCATCCATCTCTATCCATCCATCCATCTCTATCCATCCACCCATACCTCTCTATCCATCCCTCTTTAGTCATCCCTCTCTATCCATCCATCCATCCATCCATATCCATCCCTCTTCCTTCATCCATCTCTATCCATCCCTCTCTATCCATCCATCCCGCTATATCCATCCACCCCTCTCTATCAATCCATCCAATCACTCTCTATCCATCCATCCAAGGTTTTTATTTTTTGTGTGTAAAGAGATGTGAGCACACAGGTGTTTAGAGTGTGTTGGTACATTGTGGGTTACACAGCAGGACTTTGTATTTATTTTATAACCCCCAATTTGTCTCAATTTGAACACCAAAGGTCCAACTTTTATCAACTAGCCCACTAGAGCACCTTAAGTCATTAAATCTTGGGCCAAAGGTGGCGCTAGTGCAATGGTTTGACAAGAACTGGCCTAGTTTGTATGATCTTTTGTGAAGGACTGACAAGGGGGTTGGGGGGCAGCTGTCCCCAGCCCACTATCATAGAGAGAATTGTGGGATGCCGTCTAACAGCACCATACTAAACTATATTATGTAACTGTATTCTGTTACTAATATTTTATTCTGGTTTTAGCTGTATTAGTGTAAATCTTCCGATATAAAATTAAGAAAGGCAGTGGGGTTTGCAGATTTAGTCTGACATTTTCTGATGGCCTAGTGTAAACAAATAAAATAGTACGGTACATGCCATATACTTTCATAAAATACAATATGCGTGGCACACCTGTCGTACAGAAGAAAACAGCCACATTTCTGATGTTAGTGGACTTCTTATGCAGAGAGATATTTTTCCATAACTGCAACGCGTTCACTTTCAAAGCTTCTGCTAAATGGCGGACTTGTACGCGGCGTGCGTCTGCAGGTAAGAGGGAAACAATGACAAATTGTCTTTCATTCTACAGCGACAGACACAGTGACACAACGTTTTAAACATATCACAAAATTCTAACACATGCTGAGGACTGTCTTACTCACCTTGTCTTACGTAAAGGTTTATTTGGTTAGCCAAGAATTCACCTTCCAAATTGGAAAAATTATCCCGCTAATCATTTTTCTATTTAAGGTATTTTAGCTTATAAGTGGGCAATGTACATTGTGATTTACTAGGTGGCATAAGTAAGGTGCACAGGGAGAAGAATAGCCTCCAAATGAAACAAAATCACTGTATAGGAAATCATAGACTAATCAATTATATTTCTCATTCAGTAAGTAGTGTTACTATTTGTCAGTCGAAACTGGCTCATTTTAAGGCATAAACTATGTGATACTGTTTATACTGTTATTACAATTTATGTCCGAGCTAAAGACATAGCATGTAGTGGAGAGAAAGCAACATGAAAAGTTCCAGGAAATAGCCTCTTTCTCCACCTTTATGTGCTGCAGTTGGTTGGAGTGTAATCAATGTCAGATAGGGGGGAAATGGGCTCATTCCGTCTTCCACCCCTTGGTCCATGGGCTAGAGGTGATGATATAAGGGGAAAATAATGGTTACGTCAGGTGTAGGCAACATACGGCACTTGAGATGTTGTGGACTACATTTCCCAAGATGCTTTTAAAGACATAATGCAATCCAAAACATCTGGAGTGCCGAAGGTTCCCTGTCTGCCTTACGTAATAAAGGGAAAAGCAGGAACAAACTGATGAGTCTGTCGAGGTAGTCTTGGGATCCTGGGAACATCAACCGTTGGTGCTTTCAGAGTTTTAATGCTGGGGTCTCACAGACTCCATACATATACTTCTTATATTCACTGTTTGTATTTTTTCACAAACAGCTGTAATTCGCCCCAATGTTTTCTACCCTTTTGCTATTCTAGCACTTAGAAACATAGAATGTGACGGCAGATAAGAACCATTCGGCCCATCTAGTCTGCCCAATTTTCTAAATACTTTCATTAGTCCCTGGCCTTATCTTATAGTTAGGATAGCCTTATGCCTATCCCATGCATGCTTAACCCCTTAAGGACCAAACTTCTGGAATAAAAGGGAATCATGACATGTCACACATGTCATGTGTCCTTAAGAGGTTAAACTCCTTTACTGTGTTAACCTCTACCACTTCAGCTGGAAGGCTATTCCATGCATCCACTACCCTCTCAGTAAAGTAATACTTCCTGATATTATTTTTAACCCCTTAAGGACATGTGACATGTGTGACATGTCATGATTCCCTTTTATTCCAGAAGTTTGGTCCTTAAGGGGTTAAACCTTTACCCCTCTAATTTAAGACTATGTCCTCTTGTTGTGGTAGTTTTTCTTCTATTAAATATAGTCTCCTCCTTTACTGTGTTGATTCTCTTTATGTACTTAAATGTTTCTATCATATCCCCCCTGTCTCGTCTTTCCTCCAAGCTATACATGTTAAGATCCTTTAACCATTCCTGGTTTTATCCTGCAATCCATAAACCAGTAGCTTCCACCAAAAACAGTCAAAATGTACACTGGAAGTGGCGAGTCACACTCAGATGTCAAACCAAATTAGTAAATAAATATTGTTCCTGACCTCTGAATGTAATTTATTCAATAATTTAAAATGGTTTTGACTCCAACTGATAAATTGAGTCCAATTATTTTATTGGAGAAGTAACAGCCATTGTGTGTATTCGCCCGTAAACCAGTATATCCACCTGGAAATGTGACTAAATGATTATCTAGGATTATATATGGGTAGAAAGGAGAACGGACCTGAATGACCTGGGATCAGCGCCCCAATCAGCCATGCATCCTCTTGTTTCTGCACCTCAGAAAGCACCTGCTGGGCCACGTTCCTCTGGACGATCAGCACAGCTCCTATGCCGCAGTTAAAGCTGCAAATCATGTCTTCTTCTAACAAGCCGCCCTCTTTATACAGCCAGGAGAAGATTGTCGGGATCTTCCAACAAAGAGCATCTGATGTAACCGAGACCACTTTAGTTACTGATACTACACACACTTAAATAATATGTTAGACACAAAACAATGTCTATGTCAGAACGTCATACAGTAAAAATTAGTACAACGTGTGTTGTGTCTAATACATTGCTAAAATCATGGGTTCTAAATGAGTTTTAAATGGTTACTCCAAGCATCACAGCCACTACAGCCAACTTAACAATAGTTTGCCCACTTACCTGGGTCCCAGCCGGTCTCCGATGTTTCCTGGTGGTCCAGTGACATGCTTCCAGCTTCTGCAGAGCCACAAACATCGTACGCTGCAGAGTGGGTAAACTCTGTATGAGCTGAATTTCAGCATGAAACACTGCACATACAGACTCCAGGCACCATGACTACTTCAAATCACTGATGTGGTCATTTGTATAAAGTAACCCTTTAACCTTTTTTGACAGGGACCCAAATTAAGTACATTACATTAGCATGATGACTCATCAATCAACTGTAAAATAATAAACTCAGTGACCCAGTGTCATATAATCACCATAAATAAAAAATACATTGTGCAAATCCCAGATTTACACTCTTCCCAACATCAAAGGTGTCCCCACTGACTGCAGCAAATTTAATGTAAATTGTTGATTGGGTCCTGATAAATAGGATGTGCCTGTTCCCTATACTCACTGAAATAGAATGGGAACCCAAATTTGGGTCCTACCTCAGGGGTTAGAAAGCATTGTATCCATACTCTCTACATGTGAGGTTATAACAGTCATTGGTTCAGTAAGCCAAACTGTGTGCGGGGTCATCTGAGTTTAAGCAGAGATTCAGTTCCTCTAGAAAGGTACCAAGTGCCTGTTTCGGTGTACTGGCATTCAGCTTGTGTACTTTCCCTTCTATGTTTCCGACACATCATGTAACCACACCATGTCTAGTCCCAGTTCCTCTATATCATATTTTTTTATTATTATATATTATTGTATTTTATTGTTTTACCTATAATACACCCTAAGGATTCTGGAAGGACTTGGAGGATACATCCTTTAAGTCCCCCTTCATTCACTGGAACGCAGGCCCGGACGTGCCCAGTCTGGAGTACAGAAAGCAATGAGTGGCTGTACATTTTCATTGACGTTAATAGCAATTCACCTAAAAATGGAGATGGTTATCCAGGAAAAAAAAAAAAGAGAATAAAATGAAATCAATCACAAATGTCCACAGATGACATCTTCATTACAGTGCAAAAGAGGAGTACTATCTATAGAGGTAAAACGTCAAGACGTCTTTCCACACTCAAGGCATCAAACATGTATCATACCCCAGGTGTGGTCTTCATTCCCCACCGGTAAGAATGTTGAGTATTTGTCGGAACGTTTTTCAATTATCCTCTTTATTAGTTTAATACTATTGGAATGCAACGCAGAGGACTGCACGCCAATCACAATGTCTCCTTCTGCAATTTTATCCAGTCTCGGCAGTCTAATCTTCCTTTCCACCACCCCTACAGCAAACCCAGTGAGACTGTAGCATCCTTCAGGGTACACGTCTGGATCCCAGACAACTTCTCTCTCTGCAGAGAAAGAATGAGGCCGGGACAAACGTAGTCAGTACTAAAAACAGAGAACAATGCATAACAATAGAATAAGCGAGTCATTGAATGAGGACAGTGTCATGAGGTCTGCTCATAGACTTTTTTAGTTGGCTTGTACAGTAAGATAGATAGAATAGACCCAAAATAGCTTAAATTCTTACTTGTTGTTATTTCAAACTATGTAGTCAGTATTTTTTAAGATGGATAAGCAAGGTCTTAGTGTATGTATCAACAGGCTAAGCAGGAGAAAAACAGTCGGCTTACTTCAATAAAATATATCACATACACTTATAAAGATAAAATGCACTAAGTGTAATAAATAAATCATTACAAAAAAATTCACATTGGGTTGGAAACAATTATACGTATATAATACTTACAAAGCGCCATAATAGTTGGATTTTTTACATTTTCATAAAAGCCTTGCGATGTCACCAAGTATTGATATCTGATCAGTTAGAAAGGTGACACTATCAGGGCATCACCAAGCGTTGTACTTCACTGTCTGCTACAAAGTTCTTCATGCAGGTCATAACACAATGTAGAAATTTTAGAGACAACTGCGAAAATATATTTAAGCTTACTTATAAAAAGATCATACATTTGTTATGTGAAAGTTAACATTCCAGTTATTACCCAATAGAGTAGTTTTAGCCAATTTACAAGCCGAGGCCAGTCCATCTACTACTGATTGCCTTGTGGCTACTGGAAGCTTCCCACAGGCGAAGAGTGGCATAAAAACAAGAGGTTCTGCTCTCTGAGACAAGAGGTCATTAATACACACTGCGACCAGGTCCTGAGCCACCAAACTGTGTTCTTCACAAGACTGTGCAACCTGGAACCAGATCAAGCAATCAAAAATATAATCAAGCCTCATACAACGAAAGTAAAACTAGACACACATGGTACATTTAGCTAGGTGTTCATTTCCAAGTACACTCTGAGGTTTAGATGTTACTATTACCTATCTTAATGTTGCTTACTTTATTGACTTGAGAGGATGAAGGGTTCAGTTGACCTTGATGGAAGTCAAACCGGTGATTCTGAGATACTAAAGGTGGAGTCCTATTTCCTGCATTATCTCATCTGGTAAAGGGAACTGTTTGGTTGTACCATCAGCATGTCTATGGATGTAGCATGGAAAGAACACCCCACCCCAAACCGAACGTACTGACTGTCTTTAATGTTTGGAGAGGCAAAGTATACATTTTTTTTGCAGACTATGGTATTTCATTTTTTTCTCTCATATATTTACAGGCCTCCCAACTGTCTGTCACGGTGCCTGCCAGATCCACTCCTGTCAAAGGAGGATGGACCTCGTTACAGCTCCTCTGATGCTTTGCCAGACTTTTATGAAAGAGCATTATGGGAAATGTAGTCAACAAAATCTGACATTTTTGATTGCCAACCCCTATCCTGTGACTTAATGCAATTCACTTTCAGTATTTATGCATTTAACAAGTACACAGTGTTATTCACTGAAATGTCACTTTTTGGGAATTCAAAGTAGTCTCAAGGTGAATTACTATTTTGAAATTCACTTTGAATTCCTTATAAATTGCACTGTAGTAAATAACCCAAAGAGTTTTAAAGATAGTTTGAGATATTGAACTAAATACTATATTTGCTTGTATGAACATTTGTTGCATTGTCTGGGACTAACACCAAGATGGCACAACGTGATTTTTAAAAAAAATATTATCTTCAGCACAAGACCTTCTCATATTCAACACTGCCTTCATAGCATCGTTTTCAGCAGGTTACTGTGAGTCATGTCCATTCATTAAAAAGTGAGTTGTTATAAGTTTAAAATTTACTTAAAAATCTATCTTAAAAAAAAGGCACAGTTAGAAAAGAAATCTTCGTCTTGGCTGAACTGACAATATTTTGCCATATTCTGGTATTTATTTTATATTTTGCTTTTTTGTGATCAGTTTGCCACAACTTGCTGTTTAGTGAATAGATGCTAAGAAGCAATATTATTTATATACTTTTAAGGTGATGTTGAGACAGAAACGTACTCCCACTTTTCTAGCCAATGTGAAACACATCCTCACTTTAATTTTGCATCCAGCACTGTTATTTGTGCATACAAACACTGGATCCTTATACAGAGACATGTTCACTTCGAAGTGATGAAACATTTTTCTTGAATCCCCATGCAAACCTGCGAAAATAAAAATAAAAAAATTAACTAAGAAGTAGTTAATCTGCCTGATAATTAGAAATTGTTATGGCAAGATCATGCCTCAATTGAGAAAAAGGATAAATGAGTCATTTATTACACGTGAGTTTACAGAGGAAGAGGTTCTATTTCAACTGTCAAAAGTAAAGACAAATAAGTCAATGGGACCTGATGGAATACACCCAAAGCTATTAAAAGAGCTTAGTGGGGTACTAGCAAAACCATTAACAGATTTATTTAATCAATCATTGTTAACAGGAGTAGTCCCAGAAGATTGGAAGTTAGCGAATGTTGTGCCCATTTACAAGAAAGGTAATAGGGAGGAGTCGGGCAACTATAGGCCAGTAAGCCTTACTTCAGTAGTGGGGAAAGTGATGGAAACCATGTTAAAGGATAGGATTGTTGAACATCTAAAACACATGGATTTCAAGATCAGAGACAACATGGGTTTACTTCAGGGAGATCATGCCAAACTAATCTTATTGATTTTTTTGATTGGGTAACTAAAATTATAGATCAGGGTGGTGCAGTAGACATTGCTTACCTAGATTTCAGTAAGGCTTTTGACACTGTTGCACATAGAAGGCTTATCAATAAACTGCAATCTTTAAGTTTGGATTCAAATATTGTTGAATGGGTAAGGCAGTGGCTGAGTGACAGGCAACAGAGGGTTGTAGTTAATGGAATATATTCGAAGCTTGGACTTGTCACCAGTGGGGTACCTCAGGGATCTGTACTTGGACCCATTCTCTTTAATATTTTATTAGTGATATTGCAGAAGGTCTTGATGGTAAGGTATGTCTTTTTGCTGATGATACTAAGATATGTAACAGGGTTGATGTTCCAGGAGGGATAAGCCAAATGGCAAATGATTTAGGTAAACTTGAAAAATGGTCAGAATTGTGGCAACTGACATTTAATGTGGATAAGTGCAAGATAATGCATCTTGGACGTAAAAACCCAAGGGCAGAGTACAGAATATTTGATAGAGTCTAACCTCAACATATGAGGAAAGGGATTTAGGGGTGATTATTTCTGATGACTTAAAGGTAGGCAGACAATGTAATAGAGCAGCAGGAAATGCTAGCAGAATGCTTGGTTGTATAGGGAGAGGTATTAGCAGTAGAAAGAGGGAAGTGCTCATGCCATTGTACAGAACACTGGTGAGACCTCACTTGGAGTATTGTACACAGTACTGGAGACCGTATCTTCAGAAGGATATTGATACCTTAGAGACAGGGCCGCCATCAGGGGGTGACAACCGTGACAGTTGTCACGGACCCGGCGGCCCTGGGGGGCCCGGACTGCTCTGGCAGTCCTGGGCCCCACTTTGTTTCTCTGCACACATAGATAGCGAATATCGCTATCTATGTGTGCAGCCGCGGGCCCCCGGCTCCCTGTTACCGCACAGGGGGGCCCAGGCAGCACACAGCTTCTCCTCCTCTCCTCTCTCTTCTAATAACTCTCGCGAGACCCGGTTACCATGGCAACGCTCCGCGGGTCTCGCGAGAGTTATTAGAAGAGAGGAGAGAGGAGGAGAAGCTGCTCCTGTGCTGCCTGGGCCCCCTCTGCGGACGGTAACAGGGAGCCGGGGGGGCCCCCACCGGACCACCACAGATGGAATCTCCCCCCTCCCTGGATACAGGTAAGCAGGGAGGGGGGAGAAACATTTAATTCAATTAATTAACAATTAATGTTAAAATGCCCCTTCCTCCCCCCCCCCAGATTGCACATTTACACACACACTGCATACACTAACACACACACACTGCATACACTAACACAACACACACTGCATACACTAACACACAACACACACTGCATACACTAACACAACACACACTGCATACACTAACAACACACACACTGCATACACTAACACAACACACTGCATACACTAACACAACACACACTGCATACACTAAAACAACACACACTGCATACACTAAAACAACACACACAATGCATACACTAACACAATACACACACTGCATACACTAACACAATACACACACTGCATACACAACACACACTGCATACACTAACACAACACACACACTGCATACACTAACACAACACACACACTACATACACTAACACAACACACACTGCATACACTAAAACAACACACACTGCATACACTAAAACAACACACACTACATACACTAACACAACCCACACACATTGCATACACTAACACAACACACACACATTGCATACACTAACACAACACACACAATACATACACTAACACAACCCACACACTAACACACACTGCATACACTAACACAACACGCATGCACACTGCATACACTAACACAACACACACGCACTGCATACACTAACACAACACACACACACACACACACATGCTGCATCCACTAACACAACACACACACTGCATCCGCTACACACTAACACACACTCTGCATCCGCTACACACTAACACACTCACTGCATCCACTATACTGACACACACTCTGCATTCGCTACACATTAATACACTCTGCATTCACTACACTAACACACACTCTGCATCCGCTACACACTAACACACACTCTGCATCCGCTACACACTAACACACTCTCTGCATTCACTACACATTAACACACTCTACATTCACTACACTAACACACACACTCTGCATCCACTACACACTAACACAATCTCTGCATTCACTACACTAACACACTCTCTGCATTCACTACACATTAACACACTCTCTGCATTCACTACACTAACACACACTCTGCATCCGCTACACACTAACACACACTCTGCATCCGCTACACACTAACCCACTCTCTGCATCTGCTACACACTAACCCACTCTCTGCATTCACTACACATTAACACACTCTGCATTCACTACACTAACACACACACTCTGCATCCGCTACACACTCACACAATCTCTGCATTCACTACACTAACACACACTCTGCATCCGCTACACACTAACACACTCTCTGCATTCACTACACATTAACACACTCTCTGCATTCACTACACTAACACACACTCTGCATCCACTACACACTAACACACTCTCTGCATTCACTACACATTAACACAGTCTGCATTCACTACACATTAACACACACTCTGCATTCACTACAAATTTACACACACTCTACATTCACTGCACTAACACACACTACATTCATTACACTGACACACTCTGCATTCACTACACACTAACACACACTCTGCATTCACTAAACTATGCATACACTATGGATTCACTATACTGACACACAATCTGCATTCACTACACTAACATACACTCTGCATTAACTGTACACACAGCATCCACTACACAAACATCCTGTATTCACAGTACACACACTACATCCACCACACATTGAAACAGTCTGCATTCACTATACACAGACACTGCGTCTAATACACGCACTACATCCACTAAACACATTTCATCTAGTACATACAAACACTACATCCACTACACACACACACTACATCACTGTACACACACTATATCCACTACTCAAACACACTCTGCGTTCACTATACACACTGCATCCGCTACACAAACACACACTCTGCATTCACTGTACAAACAGTATCTAATACACACAAACACTACATCCATTACACATATTCTAATTCACTTCCACTATACACACCACATTCAGTCCTGCATCATTGTCAGCGGACCAGGTAGGGCGTGTGCGGACCCGGGAGGGAGGGAGGGAGGGAGGGGGGGGGGGCCCAAACCTGGTGCTTTGTCAGGGGCCCCAAAATTTCTGATGGCGGCCCTGTAGAGAGGATTCAGAGAAGGGCTACTAAACTGGTTCATGGATTGCGGGATAAAACTTACCAGGAAAGGTTAAGGGATCTTAACATGTATAGCTTGGAGGAAAGACGAGACAGGGGGGATATGATAGAAACATTTAAATATATAAAGGGAATCAACACAGTAAAGGAGGAGACTATATTTAAAAGAAGAAAACTACCACAACAAGAGGACATAGTCTTAAATTAGAGGGACAAAGGTTTAAAAATAATATCAGGAAGTATTACTTTACTGAGAGGGTAGTGGATGCATGGAATAGCCTTCCAGCTGAAGTGGTAGAGGTTAACACAGTAAAGGAGTTTAAGCATGCGTGGGATAGGCATAAGGCTATCCTAACTATAAGATAAGGCTAGGGACTAATGAAAGTATTTAGAAAATTGGGCAGACTAGATGGGCCGAATGGTTCTTATCTGCCGTCACATTCTATGTTTCTATGTTTCTATATCCAAATGTTTAATGCTACTTAAACACCACTGAACAAATGTGTATTCCTTATATTCAAGTAGTTGTATGTTTTATTGTATAATTCGAAAAACACCTTTAAATCTTACTCCTACATCTCTTGATGCACAGTCCTGTCTACCATTTGTGGGGTGGCCAGATGGCATTACTGAAAAAACGTATAAAAAATGAATACTGCAGTATAAAGTATATCAATTGGGTCGCAACACAAATTGTGTTTAAAATCTTTGAATTGGGGGGCGGGGCCTGACCGTCAAGCCAAGCAGATGCTGGTCGTATCGACTCCTGAGCAACTAACTGTTTATTGCCCCAAATTCGTTACTTCCAGCCCATACCTGGCTTCCTGCTTATGCCTGGCAACTCTTGGGCTTCCCTGGAAGCAAAGCAAACACTACCCAACTATATGGTCACGCTGACTGGCGGTCGAAACCTGCGGCCTACTCCACGGACGAAGCGGGAGAAGCGGACAAACTTCTGATCTTGCACACGGCCAGTGTGGTATTCCCCCTGTTCCCCTGTGGTCCGGTGGGGCTTATCCAGGACCTAACTAAGGAATCTCAGCCCTCTTGCACAAGCATGGCAGTACAACTCACGCGACCTTGAAAGCAAAGGTTCTAAGATGGCCGCTGCTAAGGAAACATTGTGGCGTGGAGTAGCAAAGGTTGAGTCCATCAGTCATCCACAACCCTGTGTGCCTGTCGGTGATGGGGGATTTCTGCAGAGGAATGGCCCTGCCACAGAAGACGGAGAGCCTAGTAGTGAAGAGGCATGGGCTTACATACAAGCCCAAGCTTGTGGGGAGGAGGAGCAGAAATTCCGCTATGTTGGCCTGCATGCTCTGGGTGATTCCCGACCAAGCCCTATGGATGAAGGTGGTCTCGATCAACACTACTTGCCATACACGAAACCCCAGATTCCGCTTGCCTCATACACGTGGTATTGGCTGAAACTGAACTGCCGACTGTCCCTGTGCTATTCTGCCACAGTCTCCTCAGTTGTTATTCTTTGCTTTCCTTTTAAGTTTCTACTATTATTTTAGCATGTGGAGCCTGTTGCCTGATGCCTGAATGACCTTCAGATACATTTCCTTTTACTATATTGTCTGGCTATCACATCTAGGATAATATAATCTGTGATTCACACTTGGTGGTGCTTTCCCTTCTTTGATTCTCTCTTTCATCAAAGCACATATAATATTTCACTATGATGACCTATCCTGTAGTCAGTTTATCTAGCTTGTTTTATCCATTTTTAAGGCTTCTACTCACTGACGTCTCTGGCATAAGCATGTCCATTATATTGACAATATGTGAATTTCTTCCCCATGTTACGATATTATATGTTTAGCCTGTTTTCTCTAACACCTTAAAATGTGCTGGTTTTCTATGTCAAGACACTTGCACCTGCTGTCTTGGTGTTGCAAGCCTGTTTGTAATTTAAAGCACAGCAAAAATAAAGAATAATAAAAAAAAAATTCTAAATCTTTGAATTTGACCTGAAATTATCATTTATTAAAAGTTAATTTTTGGAATTTTAGAAGAGGTTCCCCAATTATGACCAATTACAGTTGGATTTGGAGATGCTAGTTTACCTCAATTTTGTTGAAGAAATTAAAGGGAAAAAAGTCTGAAGTGCTAAAACCCAAATTATTTCTTTACCCTCATGTACAGAAATGAGGTCAACAAGACACCCTCCCAATATATACCAGCTAGGATCTCTATTGAGAACATACCTCTGGCAAGGTCCTCTGAAGATACAAGGCCACAAGTAACAATATGAAGTCCTTTTGTAATTGTCACCGTTTTTGGAAAAGTGTGGGAAGTCTCTGGACCTTGGTCCTCGTCTATAGAGAATAATAAATCAGATTTAAAGGAGGTTGTTTTACAATATATTTTGTGACGTTGCCCTATTACATTGATTCAGCCAATGCATACTTTATGACATATGTAAAACATTGCTATTGAGTAACACCAAGGAGAATATTACATAATAGGCATCTCCGAGCATAAAACATAAAAGTATCCACCACACTTTCTTCCACTGATCATCATCTGCATCAGGGCATAATTTTATCATGATGTGTCCATGCTGTCTTTGTTTGCAGAGAGGAAGTAGAACATGGCAGGATAGTACTGGCATGACTGGCTTTGGTCTGATACTATAGGAAGGTAGTAATGTTCTTATAGCCATAATACTGACAAAGCTTCAGGAGACATCTAGTTCACAACATGTGGAGAGTCTAAGGTTGCCTACCCCTGTTATAGATATGGTCAGACAGGGCCGTCTTTAACGCGGGGCAAACGGGGCAGCCGCTTCCCCGTGGGCCCCGCTGCCCTCAACAATTGTTTCTCCCATGGGGCCGCCGGCCCCCACATTAAGCAGGCCACGGGGTGGGTATTGTAAGCAGGGGCCTGGTCACACGCTGTAGCACTTTAACAGCGCGACCGGGCCCTTTGCTTTTCTGCAGCGCTGGGAGGAAGTGACGGCTGCGAGTCACTTCCTCCCACTGAGGAGAGGAGCCGCGCGGGAGACTAAGGAGGGACCCTTGCCAGGAGAGACAGATCCCAACAGCCTTCAGTCTGGACACCTGGGGAACCACCTTCCAAGGTAGGAAACTTGTGGGTGGGTTTAAGAGTGTAAATTTATGTCAGTATGTCTGTCTGTGTCTGTGTTTGTGTCAGTATGTCTGTCTGTGTTCATGTCAGTATGTCTGTCAGTGTATGTTTATGTCAGTATGTCTGTCTGTGTTTGTGTCAGTATGTCTTTTAGTGTATGTTTGTCAGTATGTCTGTTAGTGTATGTTTGTCAGTATGTCTGTCAGTGTATGTTCATGTCAGTATGTCTGTCAGTGTATGTGTTTGTGTCAGTATGTATGTCAGTGTATGTTTATGTCAGTATGTCTGTCTGTGTTTGTGTCAGTATGTCTTTTAGTGTATGTTTGTCAGTATGTCTGTCAGTGTATGTTCATGTCAGTATGTCTGTCAGTGTATGTGTCTGTGCTTGTGTCAGTATGTCTGTCTGTGTATGTCAGTATGTCTGTTATTGTATGTGTCTGTGTATGTCAGTATGTCTGTTATTGTATGTGTCTGTATGTGTGTCAGTATGTCTGTCATTGTATGTCTTTGTGTATGTGTGTCAGTATATGTGTCTGCATATGTCAGTATGTCTGTAGTGTATGTTTCTGTGTGTGTGTCAGTATGTCTGTCAATATGTGTCTGTCAGTGTGTGTGTCAGCGTGTGTTAGTATGTCTGTCAGTGTATGTCTCTGTGTATGTGTGTTAGTATGTCTGGCAGGGGGCAGAGTCCAGGGGCCCCAAGCAAATGGTTGCCCAGTGTCCGGTCAATATTAAAGACGGCCCTGTGGTCAGATAATATAGGACATGACAGAATGAAATCATATATTATCAGACATTGCTGGATACTGTCATATGGGGTCAGATAAAATAACACATGACAGGATATGGTCATATAATTTAGAATACGACTGGATATGGTCATATAATATAAGACATGAAGGGATATGGTTTGCTAATATAACACATGACTGGTTATGGTCGTATAATATAGGACATGACTAGATATAGACTTATAATATAGAACATGATTTGATATGGTCTAATAATAAAGGACATGGCTGGATATGGTCTGATAATGTAGGAAATGGCTGGATATGATCTAATAGGACATGGTTGGATATGATCTAATAATATAGGACATGGTTGGATATGGTCTAATAATGTAGGACATGGTTGGATATGATCTGATAATATAGGACATGGTTGGATATGATCTAATAATATAGGACATGGTTGGATATGGTCTAATAATGTAGGACATGGTTGGATATGGTCTAAGAAGGTAGGATATAACTTGATGTGGTCAGATAATATAAAACACTACTAGATATGGTCTGATAATATAGAACTTGGCTTTATATGGTCTGATGATAAACAGCCCCGTCATTGCAATACAAACACAACCTGTGAAAAGGCTTTTTCAGAGATTTTTACAGAAGACGTGTTCATTTATCTTTTATAGACTAGATCTCGTATTGTTGACAAAAAAATATCCAACAGACTGACTGCTGATTATCCTTAGCAAAAATACTATAGGTTCAGTGGTGTATCCTGGTTTTGTGCTGCCCTAGGCAGGACAAAACTCAGGCCACTCCCCCCTGCTCCGCCTTCTAAATACACACACACATTGACTGACAGATACGCATACACACGCTAACAGACACACACTCACGCTAACAGACACACACTCACTAACAGACACACACACACACTTACAGACACACACACACACTTACAGACACACACACACTTACAGACACACACTTACAGACACACACAGACACACACACTTACAGACACTAACAGACACAGTCAGACACAGTCAGACACACATACACACACACTAAGACACACGCAGTCAGACACACACAGTCAGACACACACACACAGTCAGACACACACACACACAGTCAGACACACACACACAGTCAGACACACACACACACTAACAGACACACACAGTCAGACACACACTAACTCACTAGCAGACACACTCACACAGTCAGACACACACACACACTAACAGACACACACACTCACATTAACACTTTTTTTTTTTATTCCCCCCCTCCCCCTCCTTACCTTTGGGAATGGGGGGGGTTCTCTATCTCCCTGGTGGTCCAGTGGCTGTAGGTGGCATCATATTCCGGCTCCCAGCCTCACTCTGCGGCGCGCGAGGGAGCTGAGCGGACAGCTCAGAGGAAGAGCTCCCTCGCCAGCCGCCGGCACAGCGCCGCCCGCCCGCGGCATGTCTGTTAGCCGCAAGGCTAACAAGACATTTGCCCTGGCCATTTGGGGGCGGCGTTTTTTGCCGCCCCCTGAAAAATGCCGCCCAAGGCAAATGCCTTGTTTGCCTCGCAGCTAAAACGCCCCTGTATAGGTTAGGTGTGGGCCTGCTCACATCTAGGTTTAGCTTATAATAAGCACAGACCCCAGGGAGAAAAAGCACCGAGTATCTGTTTGAGAATAAAAGACTCTGACACGGAAGTCTTGTTGTGCTGATATTTACTGTATATTCAGTTCTAAGCTGAATGAAGACCAAAACTGTATCCCAGGCCATAGGACAGTGGTGAATAAATGTGGCTCTAAAGATGTTTGTTTGTCTTGAACTGCATACCCCATGAAACTCAGGCAGCCTTCAATATGCAGCAGGTATATGGCACAGAAGCCATATTAGCAGCACATTGTTAATTAGATTATTTGAAAATTGGTCACCCAATAAGGTCACAGTAAATTCCAGGCTTTTGGTATTGTGAAATTAAAAAAAAAAAGAAAAGAAAAGAAAAAGGAAACATGCTGACAATTGTTATTAAAAATAAAAAAAATCCCACTTTTGAATTCTTTGTTCTCAGGGTATTCAGAGGACTGCACCAATGCATTGACTGGAACTGACGCTTTTGCTTGTGCCCACTCTGGTATACAAGAGCCAAGCTTGCCACCAATTGCTGCTTGGGTCACATCATAGAAATCAGACTTCAGCTGGGGAAGAATTATCTGTGGGGAAAAAATATCTGTGTGACATGTCGTATACATAACGGAATAGAGTGAGAGCTGTATTTCCTGATGAGAGAGAAAAAAACCCAGGGAGACAAACACAGAGAGAGGAGATTTCGAGAAGTGAATAGAGATGACTGCAAATTCTGTGCCAATAGGCACAGGAAATTTAAATCCAACCCTGACAAAATAAAACATTCTCCCCTGCTTTCTCCATTACCCAAAGAAAGATGACACAGATGTGTGAGCAAGAGCTATAAGCGTATCCATTATCCTGTTATCCAAAATCTATTATGACCTCAGACAGGGAGGGGACTGTAAAGTCTCCTATTTTTACATTAGTGGTTTATGTTTATCAGTGCAAAACAAAGGGGTTGCTGCATGTCTCGTGCAGTGGAAGCCCACTGAAGGTCAAGCTACTTGAGATGTCTTTATAAACTCTTATTTATGTTACCTTATTTAGTGCATGCTAGTAATGTGCTGATTGTAGTCATTTATACTGGAAAGTTAGGTCTGAAATTAATTACTTAAAGCAGGGTATGATCCAGGCTTACACTAATTAGGTGATGCATATTATTAATTACCTGTTGTCCATATTCTTTATTGCTTATAATAGCTTAGAATGTATTTACCGACCCAGTGTTATTATACCACATATCAAGCTATGGCATTAAGAGGGAACCCATGTGTTACTAACAGATCATCCCCTACCTGGCTATCGAGATCTCGAAAGCGGCATTTGAATCCAAGAATGTCAGGTCCTTGTTCGGTGACTATTACTTTGACTCCAAGTATACCTGTTAATTGATAGTAGTGATAATAATTCACATGAATTAGTAAACACAATCACAATGTAGATCATGGACTCAATGTTACTGAAGTGGCATAAACAGGTTTATTATATAAAACTCAATCTGTGATGAATATACACAGACATTGTATGGTTTAGCCAAAAAGTTTAAATTCTTTTCTATCCCGGATATTTTTTTCAGTTTAGCTATTAGGTTCTAAAATTTGCAGTTAACCATACTTAGTGCATGATTTAGGGTTTATTCACTAACACACCCTCCCCACAGACTGCATACACGGTTACCCTGCACAAACACACATAGCCTCCCCCCACACACACAGCCTCCATACACCATATTGATACCAGTGTGAGTACAGCACAGATATTAGAGAAAGGGGTGGGTCATGGAAACCTGTTACTAAGAGGCTGTTAGTATTCTGTAGTTAGTATTCTGTAGCCGCAAACATCGATTGGATATTGGCGTTAATTCAACCCACACAGACACCTGCCCAGACACACAACACATGCAGCCTCCCCGCACACAGCATGCACAGTCACCCTACACAAACATAATCACTTTACACACAACACACATACACAACCCATAAAGAATTGCTACAGAGGAGACTATTAGTGTTTCAAGTCTGAACTGTTCATATGGATGAGCCCAATACGTTATACTTTGGTGGGGATTTAATCCTAAGATTCTCTCAATTGTCCCTGGTGCAATAAAGTTGTTGCCCCGCGTCGTCCCCTGTTGAGTGTGGAACAGTGAAGAGCTAAACACACACGTGGCCTGTTCCTCTGTTATTATGCAAACATGCCCGGTATTCTACCCTGCGCATGCAAATTGCAACATTATTATTATGTTATTATTTATATAGCGCCAACAAATTCCGCAGCGCTTTACATGCTTGTTAATTGTTCTAGTCTATAATAAGGAGAGGAAAGACTTATTTGTAGAACCAGAATAACTAAATGTCATAAGATTAAAGTAAAACAAAAGAACTAAATATTAAAAGTGAACAATTTTATATCTATCTTTATTAAATAGTGCCCATAAATATGTCTCCATTCAGTGATGTTTTTTTTTTCCTACCTGCATATTGCCATTTCTCCTTCTTTAAAGCATCAGTTATTTTCTGGAGAATGGTGAGGATTTCCTTAGAGAAAAAGGATTGATTACCAGCAGATAAACAATAATTATTGATGATTATTACAGTCAACTTAGTTTCTGAATCCTATGTGATATCAACATTTTACAATCAGAGCTTCCACTTTAACAAGTTTTTATGATTTTGGTTTTCTCTGTTTTGAGGACCACAGTCTGAAAATGTTATCCAAGATCAATTTTTTGACAAAACAAAACTCTGGATCTTACCATTTTTGCAGGGCAGATTAACCCTTCTGCAACTGGAGTTTGTGAGCCTTGATTTAACTCAGAGTGAACGTCCTGGATTTTCACAAGAGGCATTGGAGCGAACGTCGACCCATCAGTAAAAGCCAGGCACTGCAAAAAAAAATAAAAAATGGGAGATATTTATTAAATTCTAATATTTCTGATGAAGTATACCTTGTCATGCCATTGTACAGAACACTGGTGAGACCTCACTTGGAGTATTGTACACAGTACTGGAGACCGTATCTTCAGAAGGATATTGATACCTTAGAGAGGGTTCAGAGAAGGGCTACTAAACTGGTTCATGGATTGCGGGATAAAACTTACCAGGAAAGGTTAAAGGATCTTAACATGCAGTGGCGTACTAAGGGGGGGCAGGGGGGACGGTCCGCCCCAGGTGCCAGCAGGATGGGGGGTGCCATGACCGGCCCTGCCGCCCCCCCCCATGCTGCAGCCGCCCGAGCGCTCTGTAGTGAGCCTCAGGCGGCTGCAGCTTTGCCCGGGCGGTGCGTCCACGAGGGCGGACCGCACCGCCCGGGCGCAGCCTGAGGAGAGGCTGACAGGAGGGAAACGCTCAGCGCTCCCTCCTGTCACTCCCTCTCTGTAGCGTGGCCGAGCCCAGTATAGCCGGCGGGTACAGGGAGCATCTGTCTCCTGTACCCGGCCGGACTAACAGGAAGGGCACACATTGTGTGCCCTTCCCAGTTAGTCCGGCCGGGTACAGGAAACAAAAAGCTACCTGTACCCACGACTATATTGGCCTCGGCCACGCCTACAACAAAAGGTAGGGGAGGGGGATGAGAAAGCAGAAGAATGGGGGTGAGAAATGAAGGGGGTGAGAAAGAGAAGAAAGGGGCAGAAATGAAGGGGGTGAGAAAGAGAAGAAAGGGGGGTGGAGAAATGAAGGGGATGAGAAAAGAGAAGAAAGGGGGTGAGAAATGAAGGGGTGAGTGTTGAGAAGAGGGGGGGGGTGAGAAATGAATGGGGGTGAGAAAGAGAAGAAAGGGGGGGTGAGAAAGAGGAGAAAGGGGGGGGTGAGAAAATGAAGGGGCAGGAAAGAGGAGAGGGAGGTGAGAAAGGGGGGTGAGAGGGAGAAAGGGGGGTGAAAAGGGGGAGAAAGAGGAGAAGGGGGTGAGAAGAGAGAAAGGGGTGAGAAAGAGGGAGAAAGGGGGGTGAAAAAGGGGGGTGAGAAAGAGAGGAAATGAGGGGGGTGAGAGGAGAAATGAGGGGGGTGAGAGAGAAAGGAGGGGGTGTATATTAATTATGGGGGGGTGTATTAATTATGGGGTGTATTAATTATGGGGGGTTTATTAATTATGGGGGTATATTAATTATGGGAGGTTGTATTAATAATGGGGTTGTATTAATAATGGGGGTGTATCAATTATGGGGGTGGTGTATATTATGGGGGTGGTGTATATTATGGGGGTGTATTAATTATGGGGGTGGATTAATTATTGGGGATGTATTAATTATGGGGGGGTGTATTAATTAGTGTGGATTAATTATGGGGGAGTGGATTAATTAAGGGGGTGGATTAATTAGTGTGGATTAATTAAGGGTGTGTGTATCAATTAAGGGGGTGGATTAATTATAGGTGGATTAATTATGGGGGTGATTAATTATAAAGTGGATTAATTATGGGGGGGTGGATTAATTCAGTGTGGATTACCTGCGGGGAGTGGATTAAATCCAAGTGGGGTGGGATTAATTTTCAGTGTGGATTAATTGGCAAAGTGTGTGTACTCACCTTCATGCGGATTAATTGGCGTGCGTGTGGATGAATTAGTGTGGATTAATTGGCGGGTATGGATTAATTAAGGGGTATGGATTAATTAAGGGGTATGGTTTAATTAAGGAGTGTGGATTAATTAAAGAAAACCTTTAACATTTTTTACAGGTTTTTTTGGGGGGGGTACAAACACAGGATCCGCCCCGGGTGCCAAATGCTCTAGGTACGCCCCTGTTAACATGTATAGCTTGGAGGAAAGACGAGACAGGGGGGATATGATAGAAACATTTAAATATATAAAGGGAATCAACACAGTAAAGGAGGAGACTATATTTAAAAGAAGAAAAACTACCACAACAAGAGGACATAGTCTTAAATTAGAGGGACAAAGGTTTAAAAATAATATCAGGAAGTATTACTTTACTGAGAGGGTAGTGGATGCATGGAATAGCCTTCCAGCTGAAGTGGTAGAGGTTAACACAGTAAAGGAGTTTAAGCATGCGTGGGATAGGCATGAGGCTATCCTAACTATAAGATAAGGCCAGGGACTAAGGAAAGTATTTAGAAAATTGGGCAGACTAGATGGGCCGAATGGTTCTTATCTGCCGTCACATTCTATGTTTCTATGTTTCTATGTTTCTATGTTTCTAAATATCAATAAAAAAGAATATGTACCCGTAAGCATGCATTTGATAGTAGTGGAACGTGAAAGAGAAAAATAAATATTAAAACCTTACCTTTTATTAACAATCATTAAAAAGACTAATAAGACAATTTTATAAGACATTGAAACTCCCTTTGAGCATTATCTTAATTTAAATGCTAACTCCCCACAGTTAGAAATTAATTGTGCTTAATGAGATGATGAATGCCTGATATCATTTATAGTAATAAATCGACTCAAATTCACTAAATATAGATATATATATTAGCAGATAGGTGCCCTTTAACACATGTGAGGGCCATCCAGGGTGCTTTAGTAGTTTATAATAGTTTTTGTAGATTTGTATGTGCATGTTGGCACAGAGGGTGTGCTGGTGTCTGGGTGTTTACATTTATTTATTTATTTTTCCATTCTCTAGACTTAAATATAGAAACATAACATAGAATGTGACGGCAGATAAGAACCATTCGGCCCATCTAGCCCAATTTTATTTTAATAATTGCAACAATGTTGCTCCTTTGACTTATAAGAGCTACTTTATATTAAATGCTCTAATATATATAAAAAACAGACACACTAATATGGCTACAATCTCTACATATTTATTTATAAAATATTTTACCTGTAATGATACAATGAGATTTCTCTCGTTTTGGGTCCACTAAACATTGCATTGTTACAATAGGATACAATATTATAAAAATCCAATATCCAAACTATATATATATATATATATATATATATATACATACACACATATATACATTTAATACATAACAGGTAATAAATATATTCAACCATGACAGGTGCATTCTGTGTTGAGGTATATAGCCATAGATCTCTTAAAAGATTTTAGATTGAATGAAGATTTGACTGTGTCCCTGAGGCTATTCCAAAATTGCGGTGCTCTGTAGGAAAATGAGGATCGAGCCACTTTATTTTTGTATTGCGGTATGATAAATATCGTGCTAGTACTGGATCGGAGGTTATAGGAGGTGGGAACAGCTGGGGAGAGCATTCTACTCAGGTAGCGTGGGAGCTTCCCAGAAAAGCTCTTATGCACAGGGCTGGAATGATGAAGAATGTGTCGGGATTCCAGCGACAGCCAGTTTAGCTCTTTCACACGTCACAGTGGTGGGTAAAGTAATTACATTCTAGTACAAAGCGGCAGAACGAATTATATAACGTATTAATTATCAATATATATAAAGTAGCTCTTATAAGGGAACTAATAAGTCAAAGGCGCAACATTGTTGCAATTAAATTTAGAGAATGGAAAAATAAATAAATAAATAAATGTAAACACCCAGACACCAACACACCCTGTGTGCCAACATGCACATACAAATCTATAAAAACTATTATAAACTACTAAAGCACCCTGGATGGCCCTAACGTGCGTTAAAGGGCACCTATCTGCTAAGCAATTAAAAAAGCTGAATGACTAAAAGTCCCTAAGAATATTCTCACTATGAGGAGAAATCTTTTAAAGGTCAGCAATGAACAGGGGAGAGAAACCAACTACCAGTAAATCCCCTACACTACACCAGCCATATTCAGGAAATTATTAGTTGAAATAGTACCAATAGAGTCATCTATTTGTGGTGAATTAATTCACTATGAGCCCCTGACGCGTGCTTTTTGCCAGATAAGACTCCTCGGGGAGAAACTGAGATGTGTGGTCAAAAAGGAAGGGGGAGAGGCTGAAAAACTCCCCTAGCTGAAAGGCGTGCCCAACAATGCAATCTGACCACGTTTATAGAGTTTGTAAACAAGGTTTATTACATACTTTTCAATGTTTTACTTGCTTTATTCTGGTGTATATAGTTGATTTAGAATGTTTTCTTCCTAATTGTCAAGTTATACTTGTCCCTTTAATTCAGAACTCCCATTACATCTATGGGAAGAAAACCTTACCTTCTCCCTCCACAGTCTATAGTTTATGCTTTAAATTGAACAATTCATCTTACTGCAAATTCTTCCCCTTCCAAGCGTTCTTCAACAATGAACGTTTCTGCTGGAGTTCCAGATGTCCAGTCCTGCGACAAACATTTTTATTAGTCAGAACAACAACCTTCCTTGTCATATGGCTCAGCCATTTTAGAAATAACAGCCTTGTGAGTGACTGCAACACTGAAATGAGACCCCGGCCTTTACTTTCTACACCTGATCTTATTATTTGTTTATTATGTGGGTGTTGGTTTGGTACTTTTCCGTAGCAGTAAATAACAGGCCCTTCCACCTCCCCTAATGGTTAAAACAAATTGTAACACAACGGAGCAACTTACTTGTGTAAGTTGTTGAACAGCTCTGCAGGCCTCATCTTTATCACTTGCAACGTATACATTCCTCGCTGACCCTAACGCACTGGGTTTTACCACCAGAGCAGGAAAGTCTGAACTTAAAAAAAAACACACAATAGTCAGTAAACAAAGATTTTACAAAACATATTACTAGTATAGAAATCATAGTTGTGGTCATTGTTTACAGCATGTGTATACTATGACAACAACTATGTGGTCAAAGTATCCCTATCTAGGAGGGACAGTCCCTATTTTAGGGTTATCCCCCCACTCCTCACCCCTCCCCCCCCTTTCATCCTCACTCACACCACCAGTAAAATCAAAGTGTCCCTCTCTGCTCATTTAAAATGTTGGAAGGTATGTTTTGTGATGTATAAAACATGAATTGTGATCAGTGCTGCCATCAGGGGGTATAATCCATACAAATGTATGATGCATGGGCCTCCTGGGGGCCCAGGGCCTGACCAAGAGTAAAGCTGCCATCAAGAGGTGACAATCGGTACTACAATAAGGGGCACTAGAGGCACCCAGAATACTTCATCTCATTGAGGGTTTGAAAACAATTAGCACTTCCTTATACTGGAAATATATATTTTATGTATAAATATGTATGTATAAATCATCAGCCGCTTTGTACAGAATTCCTAATTTTCTTCAGTATCAATATACATCCTTACTAAGTGATAAATCGGCAAGCTTCATGTGGGTTAGTGAATGATTTCCACCGTGCCGTTGGGATACCATGTTGGTCCATAAACTCTTTGGCAAGACTTCTATTGGCCTCCAGCTGTGATGCCTTCGAGTTGGGTCCAAAACACCTCACTCCAGCCTCAGTCAGTTCATCAATAAGTCCTGGCAAATTAAAAAAGTGACAATTAACGACAATATTAATTGGGATAAAATATGAGCTCTCCTGCAAAATGGTTCATTTATACAGCTTACTTTTTGCCTAAAGTATGGACAAACTGTTTATGTGGAAAATAATATCACTATATGAGTACCATTAAATTGGGTAATAGTAACAACCCCTGGATGTTGGGCTAAGGTAACATCCCCAGGATGTACTTGAAAACCACAGTAACCTGAATGTACCTTTCCTCGTTAAATACTTTGTTATTATTATTATTATTATTATTATAAGAGGCAGACAAATGCAGTTCAGACACAGTTCCTACAAACTAAATTACACCTATCTGAATACCCATATTCTTTCTTCACAAAAATATCCTTTATAAATAAAAAGTACTTTACCAGAAGTTAGAAGAGAAATCGTATTAACCATCACCAGTCCGATGTTGTGATCTTTGCAGAATTGTTTCAGAATACTCGGGTTACTGACTAGGACAGCTGTGGAAATTAAAAATATGCAGAAATCACTTTGGGTTACAAATGAAGACAATATTCTATTTTTTTAGTCAACTTTATTTTTGTGCATCCGATGTCCTCTCGAGCTTTAGCTACTAACCCGAGTTACAGATCTTTTTGCCGTCAGCTGTATTGGCATTGCCTGGAGCAACTAGGACTTGCTTCACGTGGGAAGACAGTGCCAACTTCCGGGAGAGAACCTGCTCCCTGACACCTCTACCAACCACCAGGAGTCTGTCAGACATTCTTTCCTTGGATAACATCACTGTAAAATGGTCAAATATGCCAGGATTTACATTAGAATGTTGAACATTGTCACCCGAATCAGAGTAGTTCTAGATGGGATGTATAATAGCCGGTAGACTTACAATTTCTAAGTAGGTCTCACTTGCTCAGCTAACTTACCAATTTATCTCCAAGCTGTTGGAGATGGCTATACTCCATACCACATATTTTACTTGAACAGGTTTTATTCACTCCAAGCACCCTACAATTGTTTGTCAGATTAAATTACATTTATAAAAAGAAATGGGAGACCTTATATTTCAGACGGAGTGTTTATCAGGTTTTATAAACTTTTGCAGGTCGCACTACAGGTTTTATTCTGGTAGGGGTAGGAGGTCTCAGAGCAGCATCAGTACACAAGAGAGCTTCTTTGCAGTGTGCAATGGCATTCTTCAGTGTTTGGTGCAGATACTTGGTGTAATTGTCATTGTGGCCAAATACAGACATTGTATTTTACTTTTAGGGGCATTAATAGAAGGATGCACTTAAAAAAATTGAATCACGTTATTTTAAAATACCCATAAGCAGGGTGTGACTATGATAACTGGTGCAGGACTGCAAACTAACCTAACCCCAAAAGGCCTAAAATCACTTTTTTCATCCCTTCACCGTGAAGGACATCCAGAACACCTAGATGCACTGTCCATCTAGATCCAGGGACTCTGGGAAGCTATCTAGGTTCGTTATAGGCATAGAGAACTTGACTGGGAAATAACCTGAATCACCCAGGAAAAAGTTTTCCGATCGGAAATATGCAGCGGTTCCCGGCCAACAAACGAGGCACTATTTGGAGGAGAGATTGGGGAGGTGATGAGACATCAAATGACACACTGGACTTGTGGGAGCTCTTTTCTCTGGAGCCACAGGAAGCCATTATCATGGACCAGGTCTTACCACCAAACATCACGGAACTCTGTCCAGATCGAAGAATGGTTGTGGCCTGGTCAAATTTCATCCAGTGATTGCATGGACTAGACACATCCAATCCTGGCACTTTTTGGACAGTTTGCCCCTCACAACTGGAGCTCTCCAGGGATGTATGCCAATTGGGGATATCAACATTTTTGGGGTGTTTTTGTTTAGGCACCCTGATGTCTGGTATTTAATTAAATCACCTGACTGTTGATTAAGTAATGTCCAAGACACAAAGGTGCCACGGTGGGATTATATTGTGTGCCTTGATGACCCCATGTTGGGAATGTGTGTATATAAACTTGCAAGCTTCTGAATGAAAGTTGTGCTTGCTTTACCCTTAATCGAGCTGTGGCTGATGTTTGCGATCGTTGCTATAATCAATCAAGTTGACTTACTCCAGGCAAAGGAAATACTAGGCGGTGGTAATCAGTCAGAGTATAGGAACTCTGTCACACAGGGTAATTTACTTATTTCTGCTTCTATGCTAATTATTCAGACCTGCAATGTTTTATTTAGCAATCAAAATCCTATAATTGAAATCTATTTCCGAGGTAGATAAAATGAGTACCATTAAATTGGGTAATAGTAACAACCCCTGGATGTTGGGCTAAGGTAACATCCCCTGGATGTTGGGCTAAGGTAACATCCCCTGGACGTACTTGAAAACCAGAGTAATCTGAATGTATCTTTCCTGGTTAAATACTTTATTATTATTATTTACACTATTTATTTTTTTAGATATCCGTGAGCTGCAATCTATGTGCAAAATCCCATCTTATGTTTATGTTGCAGCTATGTATCCCGTGTTTAAATGGAAACACACTCCGTAGTGAAGGAGTTATGACTGCAAAAAATATATAAAAACTACAAAATATATTATAAAATAGCTGCAATTATTGCAATCAAGAAATACAGGAATAATTTAAACGAAAAAGGCATCAAAGCTTGTTTTACATACTTGCTGATAAAGCAACGTGTTGATACAGTATCTATTAATATAATCACACCAGGTGACCCATGATAAAGCATTTATTAAAATTGAAGATTATGCTAGCTTTAGTGTACTAATAATCTTAATTTTAATAAGGACAGGAGGCGAGTATTTTGCATTAACTCTCTTTACTAAACTCCACAGCAGTAAAGAAAAACGTAAAGAGTAACAAATAAATCACTGAGCAGCATAGTATATAAGGGTCATGCTGCCTGTACACTTCCTCTTTCTTAAAGCGACATCCAAGTCCAGATAGAGCTCAAACATCCAGAAACTCAACGAAACAGGAACTGCGGTCTCTGGCGAGCGGAACTTGAGGAGACTCCTGGTAACGAGATAGGAGGAAAGACCAAACGAAGCTGTCATCCCATCTTACGGAGTCATGAGGTTAACGAACCAGCGACCAGTGGAGGTCCTGAAGAGGGTTACACTGAAAGGAGAGTATAAAATCGGTTAGGTACTGAACCGTAACTGTTCACGCCTGTGGGCTTTAACAGAATGGTGTAAGTAAAACAGAACAGACAGACAGTAAGCTGGCCATAGGCTAAGTGTGTGTTAGGTGTAAGCATGTTGTACAACTAAACTGTCCGTCTAAGTGGAAACACCGGGATAGAGATGGAAGGGATACCGAATATATACAGAAGGTAGAGTAACTACTAACACGAATCCCAAAATCCATCACCTTAAGATCCACTCCCCCGAGGAGTCAGGGTAGGGAACAAAAGGGAGGGAAAATACTCGCCTCCTGTCCTTATTAAAATTAAGATTATTAGTACACTAAAGCTAGCATAATCTTCAATTTTATAACATGACAGGAGGCTTCCTATTTTGCAGTTTTAACGCTGAAGAAGAGACATCCCAGCAGAAGGGGGAGTGCGAAAGTAAAATGTACGGAAAGTGGATTCCCTAGACCAGTCCGCCGTTCGGAGGATATCCGACAGGGACGCCCCTGCCAGGAAGGCTGATGACGCCGCCGCTCCGCGAACGGAGTGGGCGCCGAATGCGGGGTCTATACCTGCGAGGGAAAGGATCCAGCGGATCCATCGGGCCAAGGTGGTGACCGAGACTGGGGCGTGAGGGCGCACGTAGGAGACTAAGAGTTGGCCCGACGTAGAGGACCGGAGCGAGGAGGTAACCGAAACATACCTGCGGAGGGTGGACACGACACAAAGCTGCGGGTCGTCGGGAAAAAATGGGTAAAAGACCGAGGTCGAACCCGACTTAGTGCGACGGGAAATGTGAAACGTGACCCCTTCAGGGGCCACTTCGAAAGCGTCCACGTCGAAGGCCCGAACGTCCGAAACCCGTCGGAAAGATACGAGGCAGAGGAGGAAAGCGCACTTAGCGGATAGTTGGCGTAGGGAGAGGCGGTCATTCGGAAGCCAATCCCTGAAGAAGCGGAGAACCAGTCCCACATCCCATAGGTGAGGGTATCTGGGGGCCGGGGGACGGCGGAGCCGCATACCGCGGAGTAGACGGCAGACCAGAGGGTCTTTGCCGACCGGGAGATCCCCGACGGGGGTGTGAGCCGCCGAAATCGCGGAGCGCACGACGTTGACCGAACGGTAAGAGCGGCCAGATGAAAACAAGGAGGAGAGAAAATTAAGAATCATGGGAATAGGTGCTGTAAAGGGATCGGAGTCCCGTTCCATGCACCAAGTAGACCAGGAGGCCCAAGCTGAAAGGTAACAGCGTCTAGTTCCCGGGGCCCAGGAGTCCCATAAGAGGTCCCTAGCAGCCTGCGATAGTCCGCTGACTCGCCAGGAACCCCGGAAAGAGACCAAGCCACCAGAGGTAGCCGGTCTTCCAGGAGTAGTGGGTGGAGATGCCCTTTGGGATCCGTGAGCAGGTCCGGGAAGGATGGTAGGAGAAGAGGGTCCCTGTAGGAGGAGGCCAGGAGGTCCGGGAACCATGGTTGGCTCTGCCACAAGGGCGCTATGACAACCAGTTTGATCTGTTGCGTCCGTATCTGGTGTAGTGTTCTCGCAATCATGGAGAATGGGGGAAAGGCGTAGGCTCCTGTCGACGGCCATTGTTGGAGAAATGCGTCTGTCGCCTTGCTCTCCGGGTCCGGGAGCCAGCTGAAGAACTCCGGGGTCTGGTGATTGTTGCGAGAGGCAAACAGATCCAGGTGAAAGGGACCCCTCCGGGCTGCAAGGGCCCTGAAGATTCTCGTGTTTAGCTTCCAGTCGCTGACGTCTCTCCAGTGGCGAGAGAACCAGTCGGCTGTGAGATTGATTTCTCCTGGCAAGTATTCTGCCTGTAGCGTGATGTTGCGAGGGAGGCAATAGTCGAAAATGCCTCTCGTGATATCCGACAGCAGGCGAGAGCGAGCGCCTCCCAGGCGGTTGATGTACTGGACTGCGGATACATTGTCCATGCGCAGGAGGATGCAGCAGTTGGATCTTTCCCGGGCCAAGCTGCGAATCGCGAAGGATCCTGCCAGGAGTTCGAGGCAATTGATGTGCATGGAGAGCTCCTGCGCCGTCCATGTTCCCCCCGTGGAGATGGTTCCGTTGGTGGCACCCCATCCCCACAGGCTGGCGTCTGATTCCAGTACGAAGTCTGGGGCGTCTCCGAATATGGCCCTGCCGTTCCAGGCTTGCATGCTGTCCAGCCACCATGATAATTCCTCGCGAACCTCCATCGTCACCGGGACGGGTTGGTCGTAAGTAGGCCTGCGGCGTAGGTATTTCGCCTTGAGACGTTGCATGGCCCTGTAGTGGAGGGGACCCGGAAATATGGCCTGAATGGAAGCCGAGAGGAGTCCTACAATCCTGGCCAGATTGCGTAGTGGAATGGAATCGAGACGGAGAACCCTGCGAATCTCCTTGCGAATGGCTGTGATCTTTGAGGCTGGTAGCCTCAGAGTGCATGTCGTCGAGTCGATCTCGAAGCCGAGGAATTGTATCGTCTGGGTAGGGGTCAGTTCCGATTTCTGTTGGTTTACGATAAACCCCAAAGACTCCAGTAGGGACACTGCCAGGTGAGTGTGTTGGCGTAGTCTGTGTTCGTCGGCGCAGAAGATGAGGAGATCGTCTAAGTAGATGATGC